TACCTCATTTTACATTCTGCACCCAGTCTCACCTGTCTGTGTGAAAATGAAGGAGTACAGAGACATTACCTCTGGCACAGAAAGAAAAGGGTGTAAAAAATGTTTTGTCTTCTAAATCCATCCAGCAACAGCATAATGGAAACAACGCGAAGGGATCACAGAAGCAGAAACCCAGCCGACAGCAAAAAGCTTTCTCCGTCTGACGCTGGAGAATGAAAGAGCCTGGAGACAAGAAAAGGCTACAGCATTGTTTAGCCATATCAATAATACTTTGGTTCACATGCGCAGATGAAAAACAAATGTACAAAAGTGAACAAATGTTGGCTTTTTAGGCCAGCTGTTGTCTGCACAGCTAATTCTTTCAGGGTTGTCTGCATTTCTAGCCAAACCCAGAAAGTGACTCACACTGGACTTTTTTCTTCTACCGAGCACATTACACGCACCATGGACAGGACATCTTGGAGCTCGAAGCAGCTGATGGATATCCTACTGGATTCAACTTTTAGTGAGCAAATCTTCAAGGTTAATTTAGGGTGACTGCAGGTAGATGAATCAAAGTGAAGGTTGAGCTGACGGACACTGCGGCTAGACTAAGACTGTGGGACGCAATTCCCCAAAGTTTGTACTTCACATTGTGTACGTGGTTCTGTGTACATGTGCATTTAATGCACGGGCCTAAAACTAGCATTTAATGTTCACAAACTACAATATCCAGCACAGATGCATTATCCCTGTGTTGCTCAAGCAATCTTGTCCGCTAAGCTAGCTGCTGAGCTATAGGCTAATAAATGCAACCAAGCTAGCATTAGTGTAACTCTTACCTTGGTTGTCGATAGCTTTTTTCTTTATGGCCACAAGTGTATTGAAGAATGTTTGGGAAAAAGTAGCCTGAGGTAGATATCCAGGTAGCTAAATTGCTAACATTAGCTTTAGCTGACAAGTCATTGGTGGTGTTCAAGTATTTCATTCTTCCTATTGTAATGAATGTGGGCATGTGGCTCAAGATCATCAGAAGGGGATCTTCCTGGTCTTTCAACCAGAAAATCTCACTTTAGAGGCCACTGCGCATCACTGTAGGAGGGGAAAAGGCATGTTTTAGCAGATGTAGCGATGGCTGCATTTTCCATTTCAGCCAGGCTAGATAAGCAGCAGTGTGATGAGCGATCCTTAAATGTCAATGTGACGGATTGCATGAACTATGAAATGGATGGTCCTGTGATAAATGGCACCATCCAGTGACCAGCATGTATTATATACAGGCTGTGTAATGTCCACTTTCTTGACCATTTTGTACTGTCTGCAGTGGCTATGACTAGGTGTTGAAATGTGAATGGTTCAGTGTGACAGGGCTGGACCTCTGCCTTTTGAGTCTGCAGTCGTCAGGGTTAAGGGAAAGCGAGCCCGTTCATAATGTGTCTGGGGCTGGCCTGAGCTGGTTCTGGCTAATGCTGAAGCTTTCTGTTTGATCAAGGATGCAGAGTGGAGGTTTTGGAAAATGGCAGCGTCTGAATTTTTGAGGGGAGTCATGTGATGCCGTTTATGAAACATTCTCACAGGCAAGCATGGACGTGCCTGTAGCCCGGCCAAATTCAACAACTGCACTACCAGCTGTGGGCCGCAGGGGGCTCCCTAGTCCCTAATGTATTGTAGTAGAGTTAGAGTGGGCAAAAGTGAGAGAGAGAGGGAGAGAGAAAGAGACCAGATCCAAGTGCTCCAAATTGCTGACATTAGATCAATCAAAAGTCATAATGAAATCATGTGAAAAACGACCAGACTGTAAATTCCTTCAGACTGGCCCCCAGACAACCCTTAGACTTCAAGGTTCGATAAGCCTGAATTCTTTGCAGTTTTGGACAACTGTGCCCCTTTTTAAAACTGTAGTCTTTTTAGTTTGTGCTTGCGTCCACTTAATGAAATGAATGGAACTGAATGAGTGTAATTGCTGGAAATTGCTGACCCTGGCGAGCTGACCTCTCCCGTAAACCCAATGACCTCACGTCTGTTTTTCGTGTTCTTAAGAGGTCTAAATGCAGGCTGCGGCAGGTGAGCACCCATATTTATTAGGAACACTCCACAAGCCCCTACAATGAGCTACGCCCGAGTGTAAACATTTCCGGCTGCTGCTTGCGTGTTAGCGCATTAATGTGATGTTCACAAAGGATTGATCATTTTACTGTGAGGTGTATAAGACAAATATTCAAATATAATCAGATATGGAAAATGCCAGGGCTGTTCATTCACAGCTGTGGTATTATGTGGCTTATAGGTATGTAATCTAAGAGTTAGATGAATTGGTACCATTAGCATAGACTCAGCAGTCTAATGTTATCTTTAGCCTCCCAGAGAGAATGTTTCCTTTCTGCCAGTTTCACATTGTGTTTTGAATGCGCTGAAGAGTTTTGGCCACCCTGTTTGAAGCACACGGTTTGAATCCCTTCCTGCTGTGGTGGAAATTTCTGACTGTACTTGCTGAAACCACTAAAATGATTGCAGTATATTTATAAAATGAATGTTAGCTCTTGCTTTCCCAATAAATGTCCCATTAAACATTAGCCTTCTCCATGCTCACATGAGAGATCTTGATTGCTCCACAAATTGTTCCTACATTCTCAAACGATTGCCATCTTGGTCCCCCTCGTGCCAGAGCTCAGGTTGGAAGGGAGAAAGGGCGACTCTGGTTTCAGTGGCTCTTACGCAGAAGAGGAAGACGGCTGCCTATGCATCCGGCTGCTAGCATGAGTCACCGGTGCTACCTGCCAATGTTGCTAGATTAAAGCTTTCGGATCAAACAACAGGAAACAGTACATTAATAACACCGCAATTTCCGAACCTCTTGAGATAGCCGCAGCACGGCCTTCAGATGTATGGCAGGAGGAATTGAGACAACACAGAGAATTCTTTCCTGTCATATAGTTAATTATGAGTTATTAGCATCAAGTGCTTGATTAATGGTATGCTTCCAAAGTATAGTTAATGTATTGTAAACTAGAGCACAGAACCAGTACTTGGTCTCTTGAATCAAAAGCAAAGGTCCAAAGTAGGCCTCCACACACCAACAAATGTTGTGCCATTGTAGTTTTTGGTAAATCCATGTGTGTGTTTTGATTGGAGGGGGTGCGGGAGATCAAACCCTGGACATCATACTCATAAAGCATGAACTCTGTCACTAAGCTTTGTTTGGTGGGTCACATTTTGAAGTTGTAAGAGTGATGGAAGATTGGAGGTGTTGGGCCAGGGGTGTGGTTAAGAGGTGCTTGTGTCAGGAATGGTACTGGGAACTGTAGGGGCAGGAAGTGTTGCACACTTGGAAAGAGTTGGAGTAAGGGTTGAGAGATGATGGGATGGAATGTGTTGGGTTTGAGAAGAATGGTGCTGAGATGAGAGCTAGATTTAGGAAGCGTTAGGATGGAAACAGGAGGCCACTTGGATTAGCATTACACAGAAAAATAACATTGGTATTGGCATATAAATGCAGTGAAATTAATAAAATGCATACGATAGCATAGGACCCCAGCATCTCCTTTACATACGTCACCAAATATCAGTTTGAAATATAAGTCAGACATTTTCAAGCAAATATCTGCCAATACCAATATGGTTATGATATCTTTGTCCATCCCTAGTAGGGTGTTGAGGGTAATGTTAGCAAGTGTTTGTGTAGGCATGGGAGGGTGTTGAGGACATTGTCAGTTGGTGCTTGGGTACAGTTGTATACTGTTGGGGTAAGGTGTTGAGGGTAATAGCTGGTGTTTGGGTGGACTTGGGACATATTAAGGGCAATGTCACTCGGTGCTTGCATACAGTTCAAAAGTGTTGGGGTAAGGTGTTGATGTCAGCAGAGGTTTGGGTAGGCTTGGGAGGTGTTAAGGACAATGTCAACTGGTGCTGGGGACAATTCCGAAGTTTTGGGGTAAGGTTAAAAGGTGTTAAAAGCTATGTAAGCAGGTGCTGGGGAAAGACTGAAAAGTCTTGAAGGTTCTGTCTGCAGGCCTTAAGGTAAGATTGAAAAGTGCTGAGGGTTGTGTCAGCAGGGACTGTGCTGGGTTAGGAGGTGTTGAGGGTTGTGTCTGCAGGTCCTGGGGAAAGATTGAAAGGTGGTGGTGATTACGCCTGCAGGTGTTGTGGTAGAATTGGAAGGTGTTGTGTGTTCTGTCAGCAGGTATTGTGGTAAGACTGGAAGGTGTTGAGGGTTGTGTCTGCAGGTGTTTGGAATAGAATTGGAAGACGTTGAGGGTTGTGCCAGCAGGTGTTGGGTAGGATAAGAGATGCCAGCAGGGGGTGAGCGACCAAGTGTTTACATTAGACATGACTGATTTGAAGAAGCAGGGAATTGCAGCTGGTGCAGAGTTACATGGTGTGAGCTAGGGGCGAGATGGTCCAGTGCTGTGATAATGTTTCCCCCATAAACAGGCCCAACGCTGGGAGCAACACGGCGGGCGGCAACATTACAACACAAACAAAAACATATTTTCAACACTGACCCAAATGGGAACCAGCTGCCGGACCTAGATCCCTCAGATTCCCTCTTTCGCTCTCTCTCTCTCTCTCTGCTTGCCCATACTGGTCAGCACAGAATGATATGATCTTTACATTTGTCCTTCAGATTCTTTGATTCCTAAGTTAAGCTATACTTGTCATGGATGTCAGCAGCTGATATCACTTGCTCATATGGTGTAATGCTCAAGGTCGCTAGGTTGAGAGTTTTATGGATATCCCTGTGCCACTGTCCTGGGTACCTTTGTCAATGCTTTCTCTTGCTCAATCTCCATATCTCTTTATACCTTTATCTGTCAGTCTTTCACTTCTTCACTCATTTTTTCCTCCCGTCTTATACCGATAAAAGCCTCTCTCTCCCTTTCACTGTGTTTCTCTGTCTCCCTACTTTTTACTTTGGCCTTTCACTGCTTCTCTTTCCCTCTCTCTACCCACCTCCTCTGTAAACTGGCCAGACCCCTCCCACCTGCCCATAAAAGTCTCCAGCATGCTGCCTGAAATTTTTAACCGCAGTTTGCTTTCTGTCTTTCTGCCCTGCATCTTCCTATTGCAGTCCCACCACTCTCCTTACTTCCCTGAGAGAAAGACAGAGACAGAAGGAAAGAGGGAGGGCGAGGAAGAGAGGGAGAGAGGTAAGCGCGACCTGATGCATGCATGACTAGAGAATGTGAGAAACGATGCCACACTTTCCCACATGTTGTTAAGTGTTCCTGCATGGGATGATTCAGCTGGTCTGGGTTTGGCTTCTTTGGCTTCTCTGGCTTCTTTGGCTTCCCTAGCTTCTGTGAAACGTTGTGTAACATGGACAAAGCAGCAGGCAGCCAAAGATGCTCCGAATGCTTTGCATGGTAGACTTGCAGTATTTCTTGACTGAATTATTGATCAGACTGTGGCAAATCCACTTTTGACAGGTTTATTTGGGCAGTGCTGGTAATGCTGTCTTTCCTTTGAAGATCTGGCACCTTGAAGGCATTTTCTCAAACAGTCGTCCTGGAGTGTCCCTGCTCCGGCATATTTTGGGTCTTTCCTACTCTTTCACACCTGATCTAACTAATCAGCTAACTAAAAAGTCCATCCTGAGTTATAGTAGGTGTACTGGAGCAGGGAAACATTAACATGTGCAAAGCAAAGGTACTCTAGGATCAAGGCTGGGAACCACTGTTGTAGAACATAATGGCAACATGACAGAGCAATATGAAAAGCAGAATCAAGGAACAATGGAAATGATTCGAGGTCTGCATGCGCATGAATTTGAAGCGACTTTGAGACCCAACCTGTCTCGACCAGGGACCTTAACCGAACAGTCTACTAAAGAGAGATTTACATTGGCATATTCCTTTAAGTAAAAACAAATCAACAACATAAAAAGTGCTCATTAGCAAACAAACCCAAGGCCGATATTTTGTGTGAAAACCCAAACCTGGCCCAAAACGTGATATTCTGTCGGGCCCTGTGGGGGTCAGGTAGCAGATCTCTAGAAGTGGTTTATTTGGTAATTGAAATACCAGTACCTGCATGATGTATTGACTGGCCCTGAGACTCACAGACTTGATACAAGCTTTTCACAGATCCAGCCTTTTCATTCCAAATTTAAGATCTCGCTGTGGCACTGAAGCTACTGTCACCCCAGTCTCGCTGACCCATCCTGGCTCGTTGCCCCAGCAGGCAGCTGTACACTCCTGCTAGACCTTCCTGCTGGGATCAGCAGTAATTTACAGTGTTTGCTCTCTGGGGTTTCTAAGAAGCTTTCCTGCACACAGCCCTAGTAGAGAGGGGAGAGAGAGGATGGGACGGGAGGAGATGTTTGGCTGCCTTTCTGTCTCACTTCATGTTGCTTCGCTAGCAAACAGGTTATGGAGATCCAGGTGTGCTCAGAATGTCCTGCACAGTTCAGTCCTTTACAGTGTACGGTTAACTGAGAGTGTCCATCTGGTTCAACTGGACAATGAGATAATTTAGTGCTGGTGATTTGATCTCAGAAGCTTATCACTGTATGGAAGTTAAAGTCATAAAATTTTAGTTTCGAAGTCACCATTGTTGTTGTGTCGCATTTTATGGCCTTGTCCAAAGCCAAAATTCCCAATGTTGAATTAACACTTGACAATGTCTCCAGTTGGACTTCTCTAAATAGTGTAGGTGTTAGTTTAAGATAGTAAGCACTGTAATTTTTCCCTCAGCAATACAGGTGAAGGATTTCATCAGTTTTGGGTTTGACTTATGGGCTCACCATATGCACCACCAGTTTTTATGCACCGCAACCGGTCATAATTCTTTTTTACATGACCATTTTCCAAATTAAACAGGCAGTAGATATGTTACTATGCATTTAAAAATGCATATGTAAATGACCTCTGTTCTGATTGGCTGTTGGATTTTGTGACATCACAAAAACTCTGGGCCTTATTCACCAACTGTTCTTAGGAAGGAATTTCTTCTTAAGACCAACTTAAGCAGTTTTCACAAAGATTCTGACATTCACCAGTGTTTTTTCTTAGGTAAGAACAGAATCTACACACACTCAAGAGCACAAAGGTGTGAACAGTTCTTAGACTTTTTATTAGGACCTTTTTCAAGAACAAATTTAAGAAAAAAACCAATGACTGCTTTTGCAGCTTGGTTTCCACATATGGACCATATGGACTGTGGAATAAATGAAATTATTTGTTTTTTTTATAATACATCCCAAACGCTGGTGTACAGTAAGAGTGAACATTGTACATCTTAATTCAACATTGTGTATTTTGCTGTTCGTCTACAGCAAACGCATGCACTTAAGTGATTTGTTTATGATAAATATGTAGCAGGAAAGATCTCCTGAGGACCCATAACCCATGGTGTTTTGGAGATCTGGGCAGTGAGACACACAAGGGACTATGAGCTGTGCTTCTGGTTATAATTCCTGAGCTGCTTGAATTTAAGATCTTGAAGGGGAATTTTTCAAAATCTTTGCATAATTCAACCGTTGAGAAACAAAGCAATTTAGAGTGGTTTGCTGTGAAATGGTTAATTGTAGAGATTTCCTTACAGTGGTGCTGATAGGAACCAGGGGTCGCCATGACAAAAACCTAAATATAACCATTTTATTTACAATCCAAAATAACCAGTGAACGTAGTCCTTGAGTTTTTTAATATTTTATAAGTAACGTTGATGGTAAAATAGTGATCAATCTGAAAAAGAAAAAAAATTCAGTACTATTTTGCCTCACACTGCCCTGCATGTACCCTCGACAAAATCTTTTTATGCCAAAATCTTCTCTCAAAACTATCATTACACATAATCTCAGGCACCTGGCAATGTACTTGCAACCACTTCATTAAATAACTTTGTGTGAGGGAGCTTTTAGAGGCTTTAAACTCTTCGGACGTCTGGTTCCTATCGCTACCACTGTAAACACTTCTGACTCTGTACATTTGGCGCATTTCATATCAAAGCACTCTCAATATCTTTGTTTACATCTTAATTATGTAATTTGACAGAAGTTAAAAATACTGGAATTCTTCTTTAAGTAGTCATAAGGGACTTCGCCTGTGGGATTGCACAGCTGCCGTGTTCCTTAAATCTCCCTGCACAAGCTCATCTGGTCGCCTAATGTTGGCGGACGTGAGTGCGAATGGTGAATTATGACAAATAGCCTGAAGGAATTACATTACAAGTCCTAAAATGTGGCTACACTGTTGGAAGTGTATAATATATAGCAGGCATTGCTAAGCCAGTGCGCTCACTCTCTGATCCACCAAGCCAGCGGAAACGCCAGAAAAAATCTACTGCTTCTTCGAAATCCGTAAAAACGTTAGGGACTTTATCAGGCTGTCCTCAACCGTTAAAAAGCACTTCAGTTCTGACATATAGGGCTACCCTTGTCCATGCTCCACTTGGTCATAAATTCGATGGTCCTTTTTATATAACTTAAGATTTACACTCACTGGCCACTTTATTAGAACCCCAACCTTTGTAGCTCCATCTTCCTGGAGACTGTACAGCATTTGCTGATGCATCATCAGTGTTGGCCACCCTCTGGTCCTTCATCAGTGGTCAGTTTCTAAATGGAAAGCTGCTCTCAGCTGGATGTTTTGGGTAATGAACCACTCTCCACCTGTAGACACTGTAGAAAAACCCCATAATACTGCCCTGCTTGGTCCACTACTCAAATAATATCAGGCCACCAATGAAACTGACCAATGATAAACAGTAGAGGGAATGTCTACAGTCTAAGTGCAAAGTAGGGGTTTCTAGTAAAGTGGCCACTGCAACCTCACATTGCAATGGCCTTCACTGTTTTATAATCTACGTCTTCATTCAAAATCTTATGTTTTGAAACTGCGAACAGCGCTAGAGCATGAATTTACCTCCAAGCAGAACTCCAGGCATGAGAACAATGGGCGAGATGTTTTTGTTACGGGTGGGATGGGGGTGACGGGACCGCTGGCTTTGGCACAGGTTGCTGGAATGAGTTCGAAATCTTGTCTATCATGTTTGGCAATCAGTAATTTGCAATCTGCACTGTTTTTACCTATCATCAAATTTTAATTCACTTAAGACTTTTTCAAATTTGAATGTTACCTTTTTTTGTTGCCTTTTATTAGATTAAGGCCTACAATGTCAAGCCCTTATCAGTTTTGACTTCCTTTTACATTCAAACCAGATCCAGATATGATAGATAAGCAAATGCTAAACATGTAGTAATGTTTTAAATGACAATTATAAGCCTGGGCAGGGGTTCTCACTACACATACGGTTTTATTTATAACCTAAAAATCAGCCATTTCTGACTTCCCCAGAATGAGTTCCCATCTTCTTAGGTATGCACATTACAATGGACCTTCATGTCGGCCACTCAGCCTCGGGTGACAGTTCCTATTTGGCACTGGTGGCACGCAAATGAATGGCCCCTACATTTGCTGGGGCCAAAGGAAAAAGTGAGGTGAAGTGAAAGGAGGCTCCCTTTATGTTCTAGACACAGCTTTGGCTGCTCCCATGGATGGACCTGGTTTCTGAATCCTCAGCGATTCTCCTGGCACGGCTCTTGGAGCTAATCAAAAAATCCTGCCTGTCTTGCAGTTCCCTTCTCATGCCTGAGCTTAATGAATACACATGAATGAATGAAACATTTATGAGTGAGCACTTGTCAATGAATTTCCAATGTAAATTCAAAATATTCCCAGTCTTGGGGAAAAAATGGACAGAAGGATGGAATGAAGCATCTACATGAACCTATTAGATTCATCTTATATGAGTGCTCACTTTCTCAAGGATGTTTTAGGTAAGATTTAAAAATGGAATGGACTAACCCCCTCAAACCAGTGGTCAACCATGACTATTTTGAGCTAGTTTGGGCCATAAAACAACAGATAATGCTTTTTCTCATAGCGTCCTTATAGGATTTCTAGTAGTAGGTCAGCGCTAAGCTAACGCTGGTGCACACGAACATCCAATCTACATTAAACAGGGATATTTGAAGCTTGTAAAGATATTCTATATGTTTTGTTTGAAGCATTAACAGATTTTACTGTCTGTGTAGCAGTTTCACAGTAGCAAAGAGGCCTGATGTAGAGCTTTGCATGCTAGGTAGCTAACTCAACTCGGCTTGATGGTACCCAGATTACACTTAGCTACCTAGCAGACCACTGTCAT